CCTAACTCTTGTGGACTCCAGACGTTGAGAGCGTCTTCTGGCTAGTACAGGCGAAAAAGCGAATTCATTTGGTAAATTTTGGTTTAGTTAATTTTGAGTTATGTTTTGTCTTTCTACCAAACACAGCTATAAATGTGTGTATGGGTATACACAAATAGGTAAATATGCATATTTAAAAATGTGTGTGCGCATATATATATATATATATATATATATATATATATATATATATATATATATATATGTATATATGTGTGTGTGTGTGTGTGTGCATGTATATATATATATATATATATATATATATATATATATATATATATATATATATATATATATATATGTATGTATGTCTGTCTGTCTGTCTGTCTGTCTGTATGTAAGTATATACATAGTATATAAACATACATACATATCTATATACATATAGATATGTATGTATGCATGTATATGCCCAATCTGCCAAACCATATCTAAATATACACGTACCTTGGCAGACACATAAACATGTGTGTATCAATACATGTAAGTAAACAACCACGCCCAGGCCTAGCGAAGTTCTTTTGACTTTCCAGACCCAGGCATCTTCGTATCTAAAGTTGTTTTAATAAGGGGGTCTCATCTACTGCAATAATCTATGATAACACTTTTTATACTGTTGCACATTTCTGACATGTGCATTTCTGACACTCGTATCGCCTTTTTTATTTATTTATTATTATTATTATTATTTGCTGTGACTTGAGTTAAAAATCATAAAATCTTCCTTGTCTAATTTCACTGTCAAAAATCCTGGCTACTTTTTTTCTTCTTTACCTTAAGTACCAAGTCTTATTTCCTAAAGTCTTGGGTATGGTTCCCTGGTTGTATGGATTCGCCGCTCTAGTCAGGTTCCAGATTCAGTATTATTACATCTTATAATCCTTATTATGAGAAGCTCGATAAGCTTGTAATTTTCCTCTTGCGATTATTTACATATTAATAAAATATGTACAATTTCGGCTATATTCAAAATAAAGCTATACATTGACTTATGTGGATAATGTAGACACTTTACTGAATACACGCTAATCTGTATATATTCGCTGAGAATATAAGATAAACGTATATGATGTGTACAATACACGATGATTTGCTTTACAAGGGCTTCGAGAACTAAATGTTGCTTCTGTCAGCTTCGTTATCTAGACTGATTGTCGGATGTTCAGAGTTAAACAAACAAAATAAAGAAATGTAAAATACTCTCAGTAATTATACCTGTAAACAATTCGCAGCCACCTGTCGCTCCCTCGCTTTCACTCTCTTCCCGACTTTCCAAAAATCTGTTTTTCACTTTTACTTATTTGGCAGATTTAAAGTTGAATCAAAATAAGGCCTTAAATGACGACTTTCTAGTATGGGTTTTGCACATTTAGATAATCTATGACTATACTAAAATAGCCATTGTTTGAGCATATCCGTATTCATTACATATGGGCTATGATAGCATTGTGACTACACATAATACTACATATTACTTAATGGCAAATCTTCCCTATTTTTTTTATTCAGCCTGTCTGGTTTGAATGTTTATCCAGATATATAAGATAAACTCATTAACAATATATATCTTTAACAGGATAATAATAATACTGGTCCATTTTCAAACATATATATACGCAAACTTATATAAGTATACATATATATGATATATATGCATATGTATACTTTATGTATATATATTAATATGTGTGTGTATATAGATACGCACGTACATATATATATATATATATATATATATATATATATATATATATATATATATATATATATATACATATATATATATATATATATATATATATATATATATATATATATATATATATATATATATATATGTGTGTGTGTGTGTGTGTGTGTGTGTGTATGTGTGTGTGTGTTTGTGTTTAAATATACAGTTTATACACGGGTCTATTTGCCTAACAATCGACCTATATACCCATCTATACATATACAAAGTATATGTATATATGATATATATATATATATATATATATATATATATATATATATATATATATATATATATATATATATTATATATACATATACACCTTTCTCTCTCTCTCTATATATATATATATATATAGAGAGAGAGAGAGAGAGAGAGAGAGAGATGGAGTGTGAGAGAGATGCTTAATCAGTCTATCCATATATAGATAGTCACGGGCACTACCACATATACATCATGCATGTGTGTGTCTACACGTACATGTACAAAGCGACACCAAGCAAGGCCTAGCGAAGTTCTCTAGTCCTTGAAGACCCAGCTATCTTTATATCTACAGCAGTTGTTTTTATAAGAGAGTTATGATGATAGTTCTTAAAACATTATATTTCTCAACTCTCGTATCGCCTCTTTTTATTTATTCTTATTTTTTTGCCGTGGCGTGTTAAAAAATCATAAAATCATCCGAGTCTAATTTCACTGTTTCTGTGGGCCTACGTAGTAGTAAAGCCTAATCCTGTCTACTTTTTTCCTTCTTCACCTCAAGTTTTAAGTCCTATATCTTATATATCCAGTCTTCGCAGCTCATACCTCTTCGCATTGTTGGCTTCTCACGTTGATTTTCAGTTTGACTTTGCTGAGTACATTGTACAATTTATGCATTATATTCATATATCGTGTATCTCCTAACACAGTTTATTAATAAACTCCGGGGAGGTTGCTCGCAAAGCCTCTGTAAATAGGATCACTTCAAACCATTTTTTAATTATAACAACTACACAGTATCATTTCTCAATTTTCGAGTACTAGAGATCCTCATTTTCCGTGTAAATAAGCATTATTTATGTAAAGTGAAGCTTAGGTATGGTTCTCTACTTCCCCGGAGAATGTGCGTGGGCCTGGTCAAATGAACGTTAATTCGTGACTCTAATCAGGTTCCAGATCCAGTATTACTACATCTTATAATCCTTATTATGGTTTGAAAAGCTTTATGAGCTTGTACTTGTCCTTTTGTGATTATTTATATATCAATATGTCAATAAAATAAATACAATTTCGGCTGTTTTCGAACTAAGGCTCAATATTTTGTGGAGAATATAGACACTACGTGGATACTTGCTAATATGTACATGTTCGTTGCGAGTACAGGAGAGACGTATATGATGTGCAAACTACACGATTATTTACTTTTATGTGGCCTTTCAAATTCGCAATTAACTCGAAACCATTCATGGCCCTTTCTTTCTGTTTTGAATGTTTCGTACAAATCTGTAATTTCATATCTTATATATTTCGCAAAATCTTGATCATTGCTCTTCTTTTTATAAGCTCCTTTACTGATCTGTCTTGCGATAGATATACTCGCATTCTATGTTCCTTATTCATACACTTCCTTTCTTTCATAATAATATTTTGCATATATTAGGACTTCTGTAGGCAATCTATCTTTTTTATAACACTTTTTGTTACATCTAGAAATTATATAATTAATGCCTCAGACTGCTCTTCGGGATCTAGACTTTCCTAAGCGACTTCTCTGTGAAAATCAACAGTTAAATTTGTTTACATTAATTTTCACAAGTTCTAATACTTTGAGGTGTTTCTTGGATGAATTATTGGTGTTTGCTAAAGTCCTCGCCGAACTGTGAGGCAGCAGTTAAAGTGCAATTATCATGATTATCATATTTCTTCGACTTCTTTCGGCATCACTACTGTTTGTACTGCTAGTGCTTTTCGGTTTCTGCAATTTGTTATGAAAATACTTTTCCGTTTGGAGACCTCTCACCCACTAAGTAAATAATTTATTTTCCTTCTATCCATATGACTTAATGGAAATTCTTCCCTATTTTTATTTAGCTTGTCTGGTATGAATGTCTATCTTGATACATTAACTCGTATAAGATGACTTCAGCACTGCATATACCTTTAACGGGATAATGATAATACTGGTCGAAGTACGAAGTCGATTTTCAAACTTACGTACAAGTAGTAGTATACGACACTGCCTTAGAATGAAGTCTGCTCTATGACTGGTCACGATCCGTTATATGGCGCGACCATAAGTCAAAGATCATAAATATTAAAGTGGATTTATTATTCTGTGTCTTGTCTAAAGCGGCGGCTTTTAAACTGATGGTCGAGATCTATATAAGAACCCCCCAAAAAAGCTGATGGTAAGAAAAGTAGATAGATAGATAGACTTATGATCACAATCATAATAAAAAAGCTAATACACAAAATAATTTGAATATAATTATATAAAAATGTTTGAATGTATTTCCTCACTCAGAACAGGATAACTGTTGTGAAATAAATATTGTCACTTTTTTCTCTGTTCATGCACCATTATATTATCACCCTATTGAACACTCCACGGTAGAGAACTTAAACGACTAAATCAATACAAACAGACGAAAAGGAATTATATATAAAATAACTGATATGCACAAAGGAGTAACATCACACTAATTGGGAACAGACACCCCTATTTCTTCTTTAATTGCCTAATTATAAATGACCTCACAATGGACGCTATGGCTCTGACCTGACCAAGAGTTGACCTTTTTGTTGTTAAAATCTTTGTTATTTTAGCCACTCATTTCACAAGATTTGTATGTATACTAGATTCGACATTATTTCACTAACTGTTGTCAAGTAGATGAAACTGCGAATTCTATTTCAGATTTACCTTTTGGAGGAAACAAATATCCCACTATTGGCTTAAATAAAATTTAAACTTATGACAAAAAATTAACGATGAAAATAATTTATACATATTCTATTCTAAATGATTTATACGTATTATATATATATATATATATATATATATATATATATATATATATATATATATATATATATATATATATATATATATATATAGTATATATATATATATATATATATATATATATATTTATATATATATATATATATATATATATATATATATACCTATATATATATATACATATATATATATATATATATATATATACACATTTATATATATGTATATACACACATTTATACACACACACACACACACACACACACACACACACGCGCGCGCGCGCGCGCACACACACACGCGCGCGCGCGCGCACACACACATATACACGAGTTTTTGAAATCAATCAAAAAGTATTTGCAATTGGAATACATAAGTCTACCCTGTACAGTCATATACAGAAAATTGAACTGTAATACGGGTAAACTTATCTAAACATTTGATTTTTCGAATGTAATCCTGGCTATTTTAATGGTTAAGTTTACAAAACCGAAATTCATTATGCACTACACTAATAATTGAAAATACTTTAATGAATGGTAGAAAGTAAAGGTGAAATGTCTGTCAAATGACTGTTATGTTCTTTCAGCACTACTTTAACTATATTACAACAACATCTACTGCTCTTACTACCACTACTACTCCTACTATTATTAGTTCTATTACTACTACTACTACTACTGCTGCTGCTACTACTGCTACTACTGCTACTACTACTACAACTACTACTGCTGCTGCTGCTGCTACTACTATTGCTGGTGCTACTACTACTACTACTACTGCTGCTGCTACTACTACTACTACTACTACTACTACTACTACTACTACTACTACTACTACTACTACTACTACTACTACTACTACTACTACTGCTACTACTACTACTACTACTACTACTGCTACTACTACTACTACTACTACACTGCAGCATGTGCGTGTGGAGTCTCTAACATGAAAGTACTCAAGGCAATTTAGAATGAGGATAATAGGCTTGGAATTCTATTACAAAAATCTATTATCATCTGGACATTTATCCCATAAAACAACAAAAAACACAGACTATCAAAGAAAATATGCTGCATCTGTTAATTTTTTTTCTCTTCCTCTCCTTTACTGCATATCTATCGCAAATACAGCAAGATCTCTACTAACCTCACTGCATTTTTTCCCAGATCGCAAGACAGCAACAATGGCACTCAAACTCCCAGTAGCAGTAAAGGATCTGCCGGAGGAGAAGGTGAAGCAACGGACGAGTCAGGGAATGAATCCTCTACAGCTGCTTGTTTACACTGAACCGGGCAATGTTCTCGTTCCCGAACCGTAAGTCATCGAGTTTGGTATTAGTGTATAGAGATTAGATTAAATTTTGGTCTCTGTCTCTGTCGCTCTTTCCCCCTCTCATTATACACGCTATACACTCGCTCTCTCTACATATATATATACACATACACTTACATTTATAAATAGCTTTATGTTATTTGACAGATACAAGAGAGTAGCTGAGAAGATTTACAATTTCAAGTTCCGGACTGATGACATAGTGGTGACAACCTTCCCCAAGAGTGGTACACTGTGGACCATGGAGCTCGTGTGGGCCATGACTAACCTCGACCGTATCAACGACACGCAGAAAGTGAACATCAATGATCGGGTGTTCATGATTGATGATGTGAGTTGCATTATTGTGTTACAGAGGTTGCAGATGCGTTTGTTGTCGAGGAATTGTTGATTTGAATTGACACTTGTTGCTGTGTTTATACGTCTATAGGTATCACACACACACACACACACACACACACACACACACACACACACACACACACACACACACACACACACACACACACACACACACACACACACACACATTATATGCAATATTTAGAAATTAATGAATTAATATATGTATATCCACGTATGTATAATAGATATACTCGCGTTTTTAGGACTTTCTAGACATGGTCAACTTAGAGAAAGCGAAGCTGAGGTTTTCTGAACAATGCCCCGACGCTGAACTCAAAGAAGGTGTCACTCGGCAACTCGCAGAAGCAGCTACAACACCCAGAATCATCTGGACTCACCTGCCTCTCTTTCTACTCCATCCAGACCTTCTCAAAACATGCAAAGTAAGTTTATTGATCAGTGGAGTGTAGATAATACATTTCTGAATTTTCCGTTTGACCTCAGAATTCGCGTCGTATTACTGATGGAAGCAAGACTGAATATATGTGCAATCCTTGACAGTCTACTTCCCCGAGAGGTCCACCGGCGGTGAATCTTATAGTAGGAGATACCAAGGAAGAGGATAAGCTTTATTTCGGGAGATGACAGGGAGGGCGGGAGAGGAGACCATAAACCTGAATGGCTTTTCCAGCTTTCACCTCAGACAGGATGTCCGAAGCAGAGACATGGAACACCTGATCTTAGCGTATGGGTGAATGGCTATTACTACTATGGAACTGAAATAACTGAAGGCGGAGTTCCTTCAGTGAGTGCTTATTTGACTTTGCGGCTCTCATGAACGCTTAAGGCACTTGCTACCAGCGTATGAAAAAGCTGTTCTGTGTCAAACTCGTATCCATGGCAGATAGCAGTCTTGAAAGAGATGTATAGTTTCACTAGGTAATTTCATTACAATATCCAGCTGTCTGGTTGTGATCGAGTTGGTCAGTTCTCATGGCTCAGGAGCTGATAGCCAGCATGACTGGCTAGAAATCAGGCTCAATATCGGTCCCAGGTGATTAGGAATTGGGCACAACTGGGGAGGGACAAGGAGACCTGTCAGCAAAAAACTATAGTTTGATCTTCGTTCAACTCATTAGAAAGCTAAATGTAAACTCCTTCCCAGACAACTGCACTTCGCCCTGTAGATGGACAAATCATCTCAGATCATGTTGAGGTGCATGGCTGTTTTGAGCAGCTGTTTCGGGTTGAGCCACCAGACTATCCTCCGGGGCATCAGAGACAAGGCAATATGGATTTATTGTGACAAATCTACAATCGACTACCTCCTTGTTCTTTGGGTCACTGTAGAGTGCCATTGTGAGCTCGGTTGTGAGCTAACTGCAGTTTGCATCAATCTCAAGAAGGCATTTGACTCTATGAAATATATTGGAAGATCCTTAGACACAGAGGAATACACACTTTTGTTATTGTATCAATTGAAAATCAACATTAAAAATTGTAACATGAGCTTGGCTAGTTTCTTTCCTGGAGGAGTGAGGCACGTTTGTGTTTTTTTTAAACTATTTTTACACACTAACATGGGACGGATGATGAATAGAGCAAGGGCTGTGCGGTGCAACATTGGGTAATATCAAGTTCACTGACCTTGATTTTCCTGATGAGGTAGCCATTTTATCTGAGTCTATGGAAATCCTAGTATTGCCTCTGTATGCTGTACGGCAAGAAGACAAAGATTCATGACTTGGAATCTGCTTAGGTAGTACATACTTGCAGTGAAGACATCGAGGTCACACAAAGTTAAACATATCTTGATAGCGTGCTTGAGTGTCAGACCAGGAAGGCAATAGGCGGACTGGTCTCTATGAACTCGCTCAATGAGAGTGTTTAGAGATGGTACATGTGTGGAAGCTTTATATCTTTAAGACCCTGATGTTGCTGGTTCCGTTGTATGATAGCGAAATTCGGTCTCTACCGTGGAGTCTCATCTTGATGCCTCTTGCAACAGGTCCCTACATCTGATCACGGGGATAGATGGCAGATGAGACTAGCGTAACACCTGATCTTGGAAAGTTCAGGACCATCCAATCAGGGTATATGAGCACTTTGCTCGTTTCCCTGAGGATGTCCCTGTTCACCTGGTTGTCACCTCTAGAGACAATCTTCTTTGGAAAAGGCATTTGAGATGGCCAAGGACGTCGTAGTTTGTTCAAATAAATCAAATATATGATGAATGATGAAAACACTCTACCGTGTTGATACTATGGTAGAAAAACCCATAATGAAAAAATAAATCTAGTATTTACATTGTGGGATTTTCTACCAAATATATGATGAGTTGGTGATAGACCGTGTCCCTGCTGGCTAGCCAAGAGGGACCCTTAAGGCGGAAGTAGAGGTTGGATGTGTCAATCCGCCCCCTTTGGTATAAACCTTATTGACTGATTGTTAAATAGACACCATATTCATCAACTAACTTATTTTTAGCAAAAGCCTTTGCTTCCCTCCATATCCTATCATCTTATTTGACTCCCTCAGGTCGTATACGTGGCCCGTAACCCAAAGGACGTGTGTGTCTCTTACTACCACTTCGCTAGACAACTGGGAGAACGATTCTTCAACGGCACTTTCGACAATCTTTTGGATGCTTTCATGGACAATCACCTTTTCTATGGGGGATACTGGGACCACATCCGCCAGGCGAGGCAGCAGAAGGACAACCCCAACTTCCACATGATGCTCTATGAGGATCTGAAGACCAACATACTGGAAGAGCTGAGGAAACTTAGCGCGTTTTTGGGTCTGGAAATCGACGATGACACACTGCTGAAGTAAGTCGTACGATGTTTTCCCGTTTATTTAATTTTATGGTTTTTAATGCTACTACCATGGGTTAATGATTTTGTTTTGAGATTTTGTTCGTTTACCCATTCTCCTGGGGTCGTTATAAGAATGTTCCACTACTTCCAATAGAAGATATAAAAGAGGGGAAAAAGTAGGGTACCTATCGTTCACATCATTGGTATCACCACCACCACCACCACCATCACCATCACCACCACCATCATCATCATCACCATCACCACCACCACCATCATCATCACCACCCCCACCACCACTACCATCACCACCACCACTACCATCACCACCACCACTACCATCACCACCACCACTACCATCATCACCACCACCATCACCACCACCACCCCTATCACCCCCACCCCCACCATCACCCCCACCACCGCCACCCCCACCACCATCACGATTACCTATCTCCCAGGGTGTCCGAATACGCGAAGTTCGACCGCATGAAGGTCAACCCCGCCATGAGGACGAACCTGCTCAACTTCGAGGGCAACCACTGCCGGAAGGGCCAGATCGGGGACTGGGCCAACATCGCGACGCCGGAGATGGACGCCAAGATCGAGCGCTGGATTCAAGAGAACTCCGATGGCCTTGGCTTCACCTTCAGATACAAGTAGAAAGAGAGTTGTTGGCCTGAAAGTTTTATTTTTTTTTTTTAACCCACAAGCGGTTGA